TTGTTTTTATTTTTTTCTTGTTGATTACTAAAGAATGAATTAAAAGTAATGAGATATTTAAGGAATATTTAAGTGTATAAAGCCATACTTCTGCTACCTGCAGTTTACAATAGTTTTGTTTTGAATTTTGAAAAAGAATAATTTCAAATTTGCCTGTATGAAAGAAATATGTTGGTATATTTTATTTTGAGTGAATGGCACATATGGACAAAATCATTGCTTAAAGATGGTCAAAAATCTACTTAAAATTAAAATAGCATCATAATATTTTGTTCTGTTATATTTTATTCGTATTTTTAAACATTTTTCATGCATGTTGAATAACACTTTAACAGAAACATTCTACATGACAATTGTTTCAAGAAGTGACCATAAAATTAAAGAAACAACAAGAATTTAACGTTTTCAAATTTTATAAAATTTTATAAAAATATTTAGTAAGATATAGCTTTATACCCTTAAGTTTATTCAAGTGTAGTGTTATGGCTAGTATTATAGCTGTAATATAGAAAGCTGATTGACACTTGTGTTGTAAGGTATGTTAACTGGGGGATTCTTCATGTTGAAGTTGGAATTATTCCTCATTCATTTTTAGAATCCAAGAGTCTGTGAGGCACCAAATTTTCTATGCTGTGGTATAAAACTAAGAATTCAGGAGAGCAGTGGCCTAGTTTTTAAGGTGTCTGCCTCTCAACCCAGAGATCATGGGTTTGAGCCCTACTCGGGTCACGACCATGTTTCTTCATATGACACCAGTACTGGTTAGTTCCAGGAAGCGGATTCGAAAGTGATTAATATAAGTTGCAAGAACTTGTTTCGCAATCGAGCTAAAATAAAAATAAATATGTTTAAATCAAAACTAAGAAAATTTTGATTTAGTAAGTAAGTAGGTAAGTAACAACTTTATTTAATGAGGCCAACACATTTGGTTTCCCGATTTTATTCAGATGCATAAATTATACAGCCATATTAAAATACAAGACAATATTACACAGAAATAGATGTGTATGGTGCTGATTTGGTGTTATAATTCCTAAAATGCTTAATGTTCTTTTTTAGTTTTTGCCTCTTAAGAGGACTGTCAGTTAACCAATACATTTTCTGTTTTTATTTTTGTTGTGTAAATTGTAACAGGCCAATATTGAAACAGTTTGAAGTACCCACTTAATTACCCAAGGACACTGAATCTTAGATGTATTTGAAAAAAAGAAAATTAGTTCTTTTTACTTGACATGTAATAGAAATATATTGGTGTAAAATCAACAAGCAGAAGGTAATCTATTTATTTGATTTGATTTTTTTAGACTGGGTGATAAAGTGATTAGATTAACCGTGAGCTGGATTAGACAAGATTTTGAGATAATTTATAACTTTACAATAGAACATGTGCATGCGTTTGTCAAAAAGACTGTGTTTTAACTTGCTGGAATGTTTCTCACCTTCTAGGGTTGCCCACCACCATTGAGTTACAAGCTACCAGGGTATATAGGTGTAAAGAAAACGGCTACATGCTAAATTTCATTCTTCTTTTCATTAGAGATGAGTTTTTTCTACCACACGCTAAGATTTTATTGATATCAGCACAATTAAGATGGTCTTTTATGTATTTCCTTGTTTCTAGATATAGAATAATAACAACCTTTTGTCCTTCATCAATGTTAAAGGGACTCCACTGAGGTTTTTTGACATGACAGGACTGGAAATAATTTTTTGAGATTATTACTCCATTTGATGTAGATCTATACTAATAACGTATGTGCAAAATTTCAGATCATTAGCTCCCTCCGTTTTTCCAGAATAATTATTATAATAGTGAAAAATGACCCAAAATTGAAAAGCGTTTAAACGCTTTTCACTCAAATCGGACTGAGAATAGCACAAACATATGATTTTCAATGTATTTCTTGTATATTTCTTGGTTATATTTTATTTATATTTCTGTTTTAAGTGCTCATGTTTATCTATGTGAAAAATTAAAATTTTATGTTTTTAGGCTTATAAACCTCAGTGGAGTTCCTTTAAACATGCTACTATATTGAACAACAAAGTTATTCTCAAATTGAAGCATTATAAGTATATATGAATATAACAAAATTATAGGAAGAATATGTTGCATAAAAACTTTTAAAAAAAGGTTTTACAGATGTATATAAGATTTTACAAATATTTAGGAGTGTAAGCTTATTTTTAAGATATTTTAGATATCTGCCCCTTGAATTTGACCTTTTGGCTTATTTTATGTCACCTCAATGCAGGTAACTTATAAGTCTGACAATTCTTACTTTTACTTTTGGTTTCAATTAACATTTTTCTAAGAAAATTGGCATAGGGTAAGGAAAGAAGGAAAAATGTGCCATTTTACTGCTCTTCAATACCAATTCTTAAAATATTATACAATTACTCAAAAGGGAATCATTACAAGAAAAGCGCCATAAATAAAGATTTGCTTAGCTTGACCTTGAAATAAGAAACAAAATTAAAATATAAGGGAAGATAATTGAAGGAAAGATAACTCAAAAAACAAGATTGGTGTTTCAAATGTTTATGAATCTAAAAAAAATGCAAAGTTTAAACAAATTCTGTTTGCCTGCATAGCTCAAAAGAGAGAGCATTTGATATTGTAGGAGCTAGGGGTAGCTGGTTCAATCCTTTTATGAACAAAAAATGTGTTAAAAAAAATGAACAAAGAAACAAAATTATAAAAGCAGGTTTCATTCTGCCGGTATGAGTATAGGATAGCAAACATTTTTAATATGTAAGCCAAACCCTACTGCCCTTGAATTTGTAAAGTTTACATGCTCGATTCATTTTTGTCGTTTTTACTGTGACAGTTTTTGACATTGCCATGCATATTTTAGGTGACTCATTTAATATTTTCTTAAAAAGAACTTCTTAATCAAGATAAAAAAAATATAAAACCATATTTTTGATAAAAGTTTTAATAAAAATTATAAGGAATGACAAAAGTTTTTTCTCAGTATTGTCGGTAAAGTGACTGCAATCTTTATCATTAAGGTAGCAGTATATAATTTAAATTAACATGTCAAGTTTTGCTTTAATGGAAACTGAACAGATTAATGGCTTGTCTCCTTGCAAAATACAACAGCTAGAACGTGTTCAATATTTGTAAATCATGGATTGTTTGAGTTATTTCAGGTTCTAATTACAGGCAGTTTCAGTGTCAAATGAGAGCTTTCAATAATGAATTTGATTTTTTGTGGTGATAACATCGATACAAGACGGAACTTGCTGTCCCGTATTTCTCCTGTGTCATGGGTGGTTGGTAAACACGGTTAATCTAGTGGGGAGGTGTCTCAAGGCTCTTTCTGTGTTAATCGTAGCAGGTTACTGAATCTTATGTCAATAATAACGAGGGTAGAGAAGTTGTCTGAATACGATCATGATTGGATTGAAAAGTGTTTACTATAACGATGTGTAAAGACTTGTTTATATTTTTACGATTAATAACGGTGTATATAATTTTGCCACCATAAGACGCTAAGCTTGTATGATAATATCCCTGATACAATGATATTTTCATTATTTTAGTGAAGAATAAAAGATAACTTATTCGGTAGACAGTGACCGATATTTGACATGCTGACGGGGAAATGTGTTTGTATAGATAGAGTAATGTCAAATTGCTGATAATTGTTAGAGAAATTATATATATTTACTGAAAAGATTAAAAATTGGAATGATAGATTATATTGCATGCGTGAAGAAGGTTTTATTAATTACATAGTCTCGACTTTGATGATCAGAATTAAGTGGAAAATGATGGATTCTTGTTATAAAAGAAAATATCCAGGTGTGAATGTGAAAATGGATATATATCGGATGAAAAAATTGGTAAATTACACTTCTATTGTATTGGTTAAAACTTGAAACTTGTGTAAAAAGAGTAAATAAATGGTTTTCAAATTTCAAGTTGAAAGGTTATCAGGAATTTGATATTTATTATTGAATGACTTTGAAGTAGTTAAGTACTTACAGATAGAGAAAATTATACAGTCCGATGCAAAGTAAAACCTTTTAACATATTTGAGGAATGGTTGAATATCATTGTTATATTCCATATTGTGGAATTTGTTAATTATTTTGTTAATCTTTTTGTATTTTAACTACCTAGGACATCTAAGGTTGCAATGCTTGTGTACAAAATGATTAATGGCAAATTGAAAATTGAGCTGTTTTTAGAGTCATTAATTGATTTCTATAATTGATTTCTATAAAAGCACAAAGAAAAAATTATTTCTGCAAAATACTTCAAAGTGGCACTTTTCCCTCTTTGTGTTTGAGTGTTAAGGGCAATCAGTTCTTCCTCTATAACAGTTACAAATTATTTAATCCAATATAATTAAAAGGGTTCTTTATATATATATATATATTATTCCAATTATGATAATATTCAATTCCAACATGATTGTCATCAGTGCTTGTTTAAGATTGTCTATTAACAAATAAATTGTGCTTGAAGAGGTAGACAGACTCTCATTGAAGTATGGTCAAGGTCATTAATGAGTACAAATTTAGATTTTTAGCTTGATTTTTGGAAGAATATGGAGAGCTATATTTTTGCATACAAGTTAATACCTCCAAAACTACTGAAGTGAATTTTGTCTCTCTGAGATTATCTTACATGATGGGCACAGGACCCATAACTCATGAGTTATCTTTTTGTAGAGTTATACCCTTCTTTTTGTTGTGAAGCAATGAGAATAGTAGAGGGCGCTCTCTTGTCTTGGATCTTTTGTCTAGTCAGATGGTCAGTTAGTTTGCTGAGATGCAGACTGATGGTGAATGTCTACCGAATCTTCAAAGTTATAAACATGAATATCTATAAATAATTGAGATTTGATATTTGTCATTACATGTGATGGTTGTTGTTCATGTTGTATATTAACTCAGGACCATTTGATGATTGATAAAATGTAACTAAATTAATAAAATGTATATAATGATAATTGATATAATATGATTTGTATATATATTTATAGTTGGAGTCAGCCGAGGATGCCAAGTTAAGCCAAATCTTGTCTAAACAACGTTATCATCAGCAACAGTTACATACCTCCCAACAACAACATAATATATCACAGCGGTCACCACCACAACAACAACAACAACAGTGGAATATACCTGCGAAACAGTCTCCACAAGGTATGAAAGTCACTGTGTAAAGTAAAAATAATAACTTATTAATTTTGTGTGGTTGTAAAAGTAGAAAGTGTCCATAATATCTGTGAAATGATAATTTTGTAATTTTCCATCATTTAGTTGTAACGTGTCATCAGGGAATCTGCTACACATTAAAATCACTGAGGTAGAATTATTTAAAGAGATCTGATATGGCTGGACAAGTTCTGTGAAATATTTGCTGTAATTCTTTTTACAGATTTGATGGAAACAAGATTTCAACATTTGCGATCCAAAACTAATGACTAAAAAATGTTTGAAGTAATCAATACTATTAACTTATTGTATACACTTATTTATGACCGAAGTAACTTTTTTGTTCTATATTATTCTTTGTGTTTCACCAATATAGACTCAGGTTTTCAATTATTGATGTAGCATAAGTGATAATGTAAGAGTTTTGTATAATGTACCAGAACAAAATCTGATTGATCTGAAAGGCGTGTGATAATATATGGTATAGGTTTTTTAAGACGTTAAAAAAACAGCTACCATATAATTTATAGGGTGTCTATATTAAGACTTGTTGGCTCTGACTCATAACATGCAAATTACTGAAACATGTAAATTGTTGAATTATGTGAATTGTTGAAACACGTAGATTATTGAAACACGTATATTATTGAAACATGTAAATTGTTGAATCATGTAAATTGTTGAAACATGTAAATTGTTGAATCATGTAAATTTTTGAAACATGTTAATTGTTGAAACATAAAAATTATTGAAACATGTAAATTATTGAAACATGTAAATTATTTAAACATGTAAATTTTTGAAACATGACAATTTGTATGACTTCTATATGTTTCTCAAGATATAATGTGAATCTCTTTTAGGCAGATATTGTAGATAAATGCAAATGCTTAAGAATATACATGTCAATCAATACATGAACAAGGCAAGTTAAAGTTATGAGAAATTAAAAGCATATTTTAACACATGAATTCCAAATCGCACCTTTGGTAGATGGAGAGGTATTTGAGATGTCCCTCCTACAGCTACAACTCGAGTTGCCATCAGCTCCAGTGTGATACTAATTACATAGAAAACAACTTTAGTTTGAAACCATCCAATCCTTGGAATATTTACTATTCCAAGTGAAAATAACACTATGCATGTATTTAAAGTTAATGCTTCAGGGGAGATAACTCTATGTAAATATTTGAACTTATTTATTACAGGTGGAGATAACTCTAATGTAACAGAGACTTGTTCTCCTACACAAAATACACACGGTAGACCAGTGAGGGCTTGGACTGTACATGCAGGTAATTTTTCTCACTGATTTTTCTCAGTCTCAAACTCAATGTCAAGTTTGAGATGACATGTTGCCAGTATCTTACATTGTTTATATTTAACAATGCATTGGTATATGCACCAGGTACAACAATCTTAAATAAATAAGGAAGTGTGATTAACATTTTTATAACTACCTTGAGAGATTCACAAGATTTACTCTAGCCGCCCAGTTGTTGCATCATTTGTTTATACTGGCACTTTAAAAGATGGTAAATGTTTATTTAAACAAGCAGGTAAAGTTATAGTTAAATCTCTTTGAAGTAAGCTAGGATAATTTTGATGTAATTTGATCCAGGATTACACATCAGAAATCTTCTGCTCTATTATAACAATAATCTCTTGACAAAATTATGTCATCATTACAAGACCAGTCTATATATAAACTTATTTATATACTGTTACCCATAGGCAATATCAGGGTCTTTGTGATCTAGTGTTATATTGTTATAAAAATTATTTCTATTGAAACTAATACCTAGAAGAATTTGGGAATATTTCACAGACAAGAAAAGACACCTTAATTTGTTTCTTAAATCCTCAAGATTAATTATTATGGACTGTTAAAGTACACAAGGATTTGTACTTGAGTGACATTGTTTCTAATTTGACAGGGCTTTGAAACTTAATCTACTCTCCCATTTCTTCATCATTTGAACAGTTTTTGAAGTACTTGACCATTAAACTGAATGATTGTACCTGATAATCCTAATCAGCCATATAAGTCTTCAAATACTAGTATCTATATGATAGTGGTGAAAATGGCTTACCTATATCATTAAAATAATGTCAGGTCAGTATCCACCAACTGTATAAAGTCAGGCCTAACCCCCAAAGGTATAAAGTCAGGCCTAACCCCCAACTTCATAAAGTCAGGCCTAACCCCCAACTTCATAAAGTCAGGCCTAACCCCCAACTTCATAAAGTCAGGCCTAACCCCCAACTTCATAAAGTCAGGCCTAACACCCAACTTCATAAAGTCAGGCCTAACCCCCAACTTCATAAAGTCAGGCCTAACACCCAACTTCATAACGTCAGGCCTAACACCCAACTTCATAAAGTCAGACCTAACACCCAACTTCATAAAGTCAAGCCCAACCTCCATTTATATAAAGTTAGGCTTAATCTCCATTATATAAAGTCAGCCTGAACCCCCATCTATAAAATTATAAAGTCAGCCTGAACCCCCATCTATAAAATTATAAAGTCAGCCTGAACCCCCATCTATAAAATTATAAAGTCAGCCTGAACCCCCATCTATAAAATTATAAAGTCAGCCTGAACCCCCATCTATAAAATTATAAAGTCAGCCTGAACCCCCATCTATAACTTCATAAAGTCAGGCCTAACCCTGACTTTAATAATAAGTGCAGTCTGACCAAATTCTATACAATTTAATTTTGAAGTTTTTATATGAAGCCCCTAAAATTATAATGGACTGAAAAAATCAAAATCAAGCGAAGCAAGCCCCATTTAATAAAGTAGTTAAAGATACAAAAATATTGTCCTCTTATACTTAACCTAGATACATCTTTTCATTGATAGACTATTATGAAGTATTTATGTCTGATATTTACCAGTTTTTTCTACAATTTAAGTGTATTTAGACTTTGTTTAACATTGGATTGATAGTAATCTACGGCCGTTACAATGATAAATGAGCTGCATCAGGACAAAACCAACATAGTGCGTTTGCGACCAGCATGGATCCAGACCAGCCTGCGCATCAGCGCAGTCTGGTCAAGATCCATGCTGTTCGCTTTCAGTTTCTCTACTTGTTATAGATTTGTAAGCGAACAGCATGGATCCTTATCTGGATCCATGCTGGTCGCAAACACATTATGTTGGTTTTGTCGTGACGCGGCTCAAATGATATAAGTTTATATCACATGATAGGAATTAGTTCAAACTGAGTAAACTTATCTGTATATGATCGGTTTTCACAATTACCCGACTTTATATTTGAATGAATTAGCAGATCATTTACAGTGTTGACTATACTATTATGTGATAGTAGACAGGTCCAGATTTGAAAGCTCTTATCTTGAAGGTATACAACTTGTTTTAATTAAGTTGAGAGATATTGGAAAGTTTTGAAGGTTATGTTATTGAATAATTTGTTTAGATTCAAGGTTATCAGACCCAATATTATGCAGCAAATTTCGACAAAAAAAAAAAAAAAATAGATTTTTATATCAGCATGTTTCAACAGAAATGTATGTAGGTTTTTGTACCTTATTTGTTTAACTGACAAATAACACTCCAGGATTTTATTTTTGATTTGTTTCGGGTAAAGTTTCGAATAAAAACTATTTCGTCTTGTCAGATCATGTTAGTTGAAGACGCTATACCTGCTGACTCTGTCCTACTTTACGTTACACAGATATTTTAAATATTATTTCTTCCAAGCAATTCTTGATTTACAATCTGGTATATGGTGGGAAAGTGTCTATAATTGTTTGTTCATGCATTTATTTATTATCTATAAAAGTTTTTATGTAGTTTACAAAAAAATAAGTTTTTTTTTTAATTTTTAATAATAATTTTACAACATGAATTTTTAGCATATGTTCCAGAATACATTAAAAATCAAATAGAATTGAAAAGTTTACAGATTTTGATACCTTATTTAATAAAAGTACAAAGTTTGATTAAAAGATGATGTAAGTTACGGGATGTCCATGGCCGCGTGGTTAAGGTCATTGACTTTAAATCACTTGCTTCTCAACACTGTAGGTTTGAATCCAGCAGGGGATTTGGATTCCTTCATGTGAGAAAGCTTAATCTAGCTGGATAAGAGAATGTCAGTGGTTCTACTCAGGTGCCCTTTCATGCCTGAAATAAAAATACATGGAGGGGCACCAGAGTGAGGTCTTCCTCCAGCTGTTGGGAAGTTGCCTTATGATCTTTACAATGTTGGAATCACTTACCAAAATATAAAAAAGAATTGTATGGTGACAAAGGAAATTGCTAAACATACTTTTTTTTTCAATATCAAAAGTTTTGATACAAAGCATAATCTCCAATGTGTTACAACTAGTCAGTTGATAAAGATAAAGTAATAAAATACAAACAGTTTTATTAATGACCCTACTGTCACAGTTTCCGTCTATAGATTGAGCGTAACTTGTTTAGGTTCAACATTATTTGTTCTATTTATAATAGCACCTTTTTTGTTGGTCAAAATCAATGTTGATTAAACAAATACCTGGGAACGATGTTGACATAACATAACGCTTCCATTGTAAACTCCATCTGCTGTTAGTATAAAGTAAATAGGCCAAGTTCATGAAGCTGATCATTGTTAATCATTTAACTTGTCACAGAACAAAAAATAAAATGAAAAATATTTCTTTCTGTATAAAACCTGTTTTTGTGTGAAAAATCAACATGTTGAAAAGGAATTAGTCATAGACAATCCATATTTAGTCATACAAAATGTTGGTCAGTAATTTTCTTTACCTTTCATGATGTTTATTAGTCATTCAGTTTTACAAGGTATTAAAGTTAGCCAGTCTTCCAGTTTACCAGTAAAAATTTTGGCCAGTCATTCAGTTTACAATGTATTAAAGTTAGCCAGTTATTCAGTTTACCAGTGAGTTTGTTTGCCATTCATTAAGTTTATCGGTTACCAAACTATTGTCCTAGGTTTGTAACATAGTTTTGAAAAGAATTATTTAGGGTAAGGGTAAGAAGTGTTTCATAAAATATTTTAGTACAATATGAATATAATTATATTTCAGTACAATATGAATGTAAATGTTTCAGTACAATATGAATATAAATATTTCAGTACAATATGAATATAAATATTTCAGTATAATATGAATGTAAATACTTCAGTACAATATGAATATAAATATTTCAGTACAATATGAATGTAAATATTTCAGTACAATATGAATGTAAATATTTAAGTACAATATGAATATAAACATTTCAGTACAATATGAATGTAAATATTTCAGTACAATATTTAAGTACAACATGAATATAAATATTTCAGTACAATAAAAATATTTCAGCACAATATGAATATAAATATTCCAGTGCAATATGAATATAAATATTTCAGAGAATTCTGTGAGTTCTATTGCGAGTCAACCATATGACAGATCTGGACAACATATCAATGATTTATCTGTACAAGATGTTACTTCAGAAGGTAAGCTCAAAATCTTGTCTTTTTACTTTTATACAGTTGTATTATTTTATATAACTCTAGTTATATAGAATTTAGATATCAAAGTTTTGATAATTTTGAATTATTAGTATTAGTGCAAGTATATTTAAAACACTTTCATTTGATTTCTTTACTGTGTTTGCAAAATTTTATTGAATGATACAAAAAAAATTGGTTAAGTTTCCTTTGCTAAGGACTTTTTCATAGATTAATAAAGATCTATGTTTTTGAATACAAAGCTTCCATGATTATGTTTATATTGCAAAAATTTTAAACTTGGATATAAAAGATTATTGAATGATTTTCTGTTTGATATAAATATGTTCATGTTTAAATATTTGACAAATATAAACATTCCTCTTCTAAATGAAATAACACACAATTATCATAAAGTTCAGCTATTTTCCTATTTGAAGTGCATTCATAAAGAAGTTAAGTTTATGGGTAAAATCAAATGTTCACAGACTATGTTTTATTTGTTTTAGATTATGATAAACGTAGTACTTCTAGTTTGTTGGATTCCGAGTCAACATACATTCCAGTAGGAGGAAAGTCACCGGTCACCCCAGCTCGACCTATGACCGCACCTACTAACAACATGTTCTCAAGTCCTATTACACAACATGTCCTTGACATTTTGTCACGAGGTGAAAATCGCCCGGCTACAGCAATAGGCGATAATAAATATGACGCTTACGATAAACGACCAATAAAACCAATGAACCAAGAATTGTATAAAGGTATATTTAAACCAGACTTTCATGCATCGCAGCCACAAATGTCCGGAAATGAGCCGGTTGTTGGAATTAAAAAGAAGGTTCCGCCTACGGCCCTTGCTGTGGATTGTGATACCAGTCAGGATGTGTCACAAGTTGATGATTTGCCAAAAGAGAATGTTGAACATTTTTCATCAAAAGAGTTGAGCCTTATTAAAGACGCTGCTGCAAAGAAAGCGCGAAAATCTTCCTCAAGGTCGAATCGTGAGGAATCAAAAAGTGCAAAAACTGTGGATAGGAAAAAAGATAGACATGATTCTGTTCATTCACACTCAGGAAATAAAACTTCTATTCCAGTGGCATCTAAATCTACAGTGTCACGAACTCAGTCGGAATATGTTCCTGGTAAATATTCAGCTTCACGTCGCCCTGCGACAACTGAAAGTGATTCACGTAACAAGGGTAAAATGATTAAAACCATTCCAGAAAAAGTAATCGGGTCTGACCGTGTTAACAAAAGTGATTCAAAACGTGATCATGACAATAGTTTACGAGATTCTGGAATTTACTCACGACCCACGAGTGATGCTGTGCTTGCAGAAGGTGTGTGTGTGTGTTCACTTTATATAATATCTCAGAAAATGTAGCTTTTAGCTGATGCTTTTTCTTAAAAACAAAAAACAAACAAAAAGTCTTTAGAGGAAATCTTAAAATGCTTAGAATGAATGAAATGCCTTCAGTAACATAGAAATGTCTTTAATTAATGAAAGAAATCATAAGAATGTCACTTAATGCCTGTTATGTATTATAAAACTTCACATTCGCAGCATTGATTCATAGCATTTTTATATAATCTACTTATATAAACATGGCTGCAGTCGATTTATAAATTAATTTCAGTTTTTTTTTGCTAATGAAATAAGTTTGCGGTATTATAAATTCGTTATAAAGATTCTTGACAGGTAATATGGTCAAAGATATGGGTGCAAGTTTTCAGGGACATGTAGGAAAATGATTATGAATTACAGTTTTCAGGTTTTTCTGAATTTTTAACTTGCACCCATGCAAACATAAATGGTTATTTGCAATATACAAACAAGCATTTATATAGGGCCACATAACCTGTTAAACATCTTTATAATTAATAATAGATTGTGACACCAGAGAGGTCGTGTCATGTTGATATAAATAGTTTGTCAATACAAAAGCTGCAATTTCTGGGCCGTCTTGTTACATGTATTAATCTTCATTATTTTTAGTGATATTTAATTAATAAGCACAGTGTCATAATTATATGCACCTAATAACACACATGTGTTATAAAAGTTTAAACACGTTCTCAAAATATGTACACATGAATGATTGTGTTTTCCATACTGGATCAGATAATGGCTTTAGAATCTGTCCGCTGCTATTTTTAACATTATGATTTTTCCCAATATTATTTCTTCAATATTTGAGCCGCGTCATGACAAAACCAACATAATGGGTTGGCGACCAGCATGGATCCAGACCAGCCTGCGCATCCGCGCAGTCTGATCAGGATCCATGCTGTTCGCTATCAGTTTCTCTACTTGTAATAGAGTTGGTAAGCGAACAGCATGGATCCTGATCAGACTGCGGGGATGTGCAGGCTGTTCAGGATCCATGCTGGTCGCAAACGCACTATGTTGGTTTTGTCGTTACGCGGCTCATTTATGTTTTTCTACAAATCACTCAGATAACTGCTGGGGTTAGGGTTAGGGTTAGCGTAAATGTTATGGGTTAGGTTAAGGGGTTAGGGTAAGGATTTAAAAACCATGGAATTTGCTGTGGACAGATTCTTAAAGTGCTTCCAGATATTTACCATAATCATGTGTGCATACATAAACTAGTTAATTGTAGTTATAGAATGCACGTTTTTTTGGCTCATTTAGCAAATGATTTGGTAAAATAAATATGAACACAAATTAGCATCACCAATGTTTTAGCATTATAAAACAATAAATTAATTTTCCTGACTACAAGTTTTTTACCTGGTAAAAATAGAGTAGATGCCAACAATAATTAAAGTTAAAAGTACATGTTTTACATTCGTACTCTTCTATTCAATAAATAGCATGCTTTTGACGTATAGCTGAGTGAGTGTAAATATTAACATTGCTTAATTATATGTACATACATGTACAAATATATCTATAAAAAAACTATATTTGCTATACATTAAAAAGTTAATGTAAAATAATTCTAAAGGTATTGATATTGCAGAGATGTGATGAACTGTTACAGTATAATAAACTATGATATAAAGAGTAGCAAAGTACTGTGCTGCACTGCCAGATAAAATGTTTATTCTTGTTTTCAAATTTAACTATTGATTTCTGTACTTGATGGATGTGGTTTTAAATAATTAAAAAAACAAACTTCTTAAATGAATTACTAAGATATTTTAATAAATCATTGGATAAACAAATGTTAAAGACCTCATGTATAGTTTGTTTAACCCTTAAGTATGACAAACTTGAGGTATTGAAGTGACTTTACAGTAACATTCAAAGTTTTAAAAATGTCAATGTTACTTGCATATTTTTAAGGTTACAACTGGTTAATGCTTGCTTAAAAATTCCACTATTTGGTCCAAAGTCATTTCCCCCATTCCCAGGGTTGCTGGAAATATGACATGTATGATTAAACCTACTATCTGAATAACACTAATCTATTATATGTCTTTTCATTTTTAATGATAAATCAGTATAGAAACTATGTATGTTAACCAAGCATACACCAGATTGTAATAGTTAATGTTTATATAATCTGTTCTATATTATGGTTATATAATCTGTGATATTTTATATTTATATAATCAGATATAAAAGCCCTTCATGCAGCAACAAAGATTCAGAGTTTCTGGCGAGGTTATTACACTAGAGAGCATAATGTTGACGCGGTACGGGTGCGGCGGGAGATTCGCGCTCGAAGGGCGGAGGAACATATTGTGGTGCTGCGTACAGAACTTGACAAGTATGAAGCTCACTGTTGTAGATTTTATTTTTTATTTCCGATATATTGATCAGTAAATCTTGGAAATATGACTAGTTGCGTCTGCTGAAGTAAACGATATGTCTCGTATTGATTTCTACAAAGTGGTTGATTAAAATTTAAGAACATTTTCCAGGCAATTAAACAAGAAAGTGGCAGGTGTTCTGTTACAACAGTTCTTATTACATTTTCTATCAATACTGACAACAGTCTAACATGTCAATAGACAGAAACAAATTTACTATTTATAATCTCATTTGTAAAATAAATTCATTTTTCATGAATCTTTATCTTAGTGTAAGACAGGTTCAGTACAATGGCCCTAACAAAATTCTATTTGTACTTTACGAAGAAATCATTTTGTAAGCTTTTGTGTCTAGCTAATCATTAAACTGTATGAACAAAATATATTCTGTTAACATATGTGGAACATTCATTTGTATTTTTCCTTTTCTTTTTTTTTCTGATTTTTTTTTTATATTTTTTTTTTAAAGATTTTGTATGTATCTTTTCAACTAGGATATTAGCATGATTTGTTTTGTACATTTTTAAACATAATGTATACAAAAACTTTCTATATTATTTAAGGCAATGTTATTTGTTGAGATCAAGGCAGGCCAACCAATTTATGTCTACATATGCACATTGACTCTATTTTATTGTTTTCTCAATTTTGGGATTTTAAAGTTCTAAGTTAAAAATACGGTTTAGTCCAGCACCAAACCCCTTGTGGCTGAAGGGTTGCTTCTAAGGGTTGAGGCATAAGAATTGCAGCCACCATAATACTGGCGTGATCATAAGAGGTGGCTAAATGGGTTTGAACTACTGGAATCTATGTATCTCTTAACTACAGCAGGTGAGGTGGTTTTGACCCCTGGTGTTACTTTAAGATTGTAACATCCGAGGTAAGCAAAAGTCATCTTTCCTGTTCCCAGCCATAGGACCTAAATTGTGTTGGTGTGCCGAAAAACCGAACAAAAACCAGTAGATAATGTTTGAATCAGTTATTTTATTATATTATGTTTACAGACAGAGAAGATTGTATGATCAAGAACGTCAGTTAAGAACATTACAACTAGAAGCTATCAGACAGTTATGGAAAGAGGTATTAACTTTTATATTCACATACAGTAATTGATTGTAATGTGTGCATAGTTTGAGGCTTTGGTCTAAATCTTGTAATTCTTATAATATATAAAAGATACAAAAAAACGATTTCATGGTGAAGCCCTCTATCTGGAGACAATTATGAAACCTCTGATTGGCTAATTTAACCTAGATAATTGTTCAATTAGATAGCTTTTAAACTTTGAACATCTGGGTACACATAGAAGATGTACATCTCTAATAGTCTGATAGTCTGGTCAAGTGTGGCCAGTATTTAACTGGAGTATCTCACTGGTTGACTTTTGCCTTGAAAATTGACCAATGGTTGCATCTGGTATAAAGACTGTTCAGAAACACCTAACTTTGTACTCTGGCCGGGGGGTGGGGGGGCCAAAATTACCTCATACACTTCTGTAGAAGTAACAGAATATTGCTCACTTGATGACCTTTGCTTAGAAGTTAACTTTTGATCCCTTAAACAGAGATTACCTCCACAGATCACCTCTGATCCATGGCATGTAGAATACGTTTGACACTTAGCCTTGCTCATCAACAGATACAATGATATCTGTGTTGTTAGCCTCCTTAATATTGATGACGTAATCATACTCATTGATAAACGTATCAGCTATATTAAATTTTCTACGTTATATGATTTGAAATTAATCCAAGCTTAGCTGCAACATTTTCAATATATTTTCATTTAAAAACCTGCCAATGATGTAGCAATTAGGTCAGAAAGTGCAACCATATCAGCAAATGACATAACTAGTTACAGCAGGTATCAAAATTCTTGCTAAAGAATGATATAATGTCTAGGGCATTGAATTTTGCCGAGTCAGTAAATTCTGGAATTTTGTTGTTAAAGATTTTATTTAATTCATTCGTAATTATCTTGAGTAAGTAAGTAAGTAAGTAAGTAAGTAAGTAACGACTTTATTTAATGAGGCTAGCACATTCGGTTTCCCGATCTTCCATGTGGGCCTCAGCATATACATACAATGTAACATACAAAACATCATTTAAGAAATAAACTGTTAATTTTTTTTTTTTTTTTTTTTTACACTTTGTGGCATTTTCAAAAACTTCAATATTGAAAAATACAACTAATGTTAAAAAACAACACAGTTAGTCATCCTGGTATCATATTTAGAAAGCTATGTACACAATAAAAATGGAAAAATGACATATATAAAAAAATGGAAAAAAGACATATATAAAAAAATGGAAAAATGACATATATAATTTAAATGGAAAATTGCCAATGAATATAGCTGGCTTGAAATTTTTTCAAAGTTTCAGAATTTCTAACATGTATTGGAATGTCATTCCATATTGTAGGCCCAGAGTAATTAAGTGTTTTCCTAAAACACTCTGTTTTTGGTTTAGGTACAATTAGTTTTTCATTTTGGACAGATCTCAAATTAAAGTTGTGTCTGTCATTTACTGTTTGAAATTTATTTTTCATATACTTAGGAAAGGATGGTTCATTTATTGACTTATACATTAGAATTGCCTTTTTTGTATCTGATTCTTTGGTCAAAGGACATCCAATTTAGTTCTTTAAAATAGTTCATTTGATGGGGCATCAAAATTTTTGTCCAAAATTATTCTAGCAGCTCTTTTTTGAAATTTGATTATTTGTGAGAGTAAATCACTGCTGCAGTTTCCCCAAATAGTGCAGCAGTAGTCCAAATGTGGCAGTATATATGCATTGAAAAAAGTTTTCTAGCATGAAGATCAAGATATTGTTTAATACTTAGAAGCAAATAGAGCTGTAAATTGCATTTTTAAATAATTTTTTGAATGTGTGTTTTCCATTTTAGATTTTTGTCAACATAGACTCCTAGTACTTTTTCATTGTCTGTAAATTCTATTTCTTGATTGTGAAGGTTAAGAGAAGGTGTTGAAGAATGCTCAGATTTTGAATGCTTTATTGAGAAATTCATAGCTTTAGTTTTTTGTGCATTTAGTATCATTGAATTTTGTACACACCATGTGCTTATACTATCAAGATCTGATTGAAGATTATCTTCTACTTCCCTTATAGTATTTCCAGTTGAAGTTAGAGAAGTGTCATCTGCAAACATATCAGTATTTGACTTTTTTATATGAAGATGTATGTCATTTATGTAAATTAAGAATAGTAGGGGCCCTAGGACTGAGCCCTGGGGTACTCCGGAGACAACTTCAGCAGATTCTGATAAAACACCAGACACATTTACTTTTTGTGACCTGTCTGACAGATATGATGTAATCCAAGAAATAGTGTGTGAGGAAAGATGATAGAAGGGTAGTTTTTCAATAAGAATTTTGTGATTAACTAAATCAAAGGCCTTAGACAAGTCCAGAAAAACAGTTCCAACAATTTTGCCATCATTAAGTGCATTTATCCAATTATCAATTAAATTTGTAAGTGCTGTTTCACATGAATGGTATGCCCTGAAGCCTGATTGAGCTGTGTAGAGGAAATTGTTTGTTTCTAAAAATAGCTTCAAGTTGTCAGAAACATGTTTTTCAAATATTTTTGAGATAAGTGGGAGAACTGAAATTGGTCTATAGTTGTTTTTGTCAGACTTGAGGCCTTTCTTATAGATTGGTGTTACCTTTGATTGTTTTAACTGTGTAGGAAATTTTCCAGTTTTAATACTTAAGTTTATTATGGTACAAAGGGGTTTATCTATGACACTTGCTGCCGTTTTTAGAAATTTTGCACTAATGCCATCTAAGCCTGTTGCTTTCGTAATATCGAGACTGTTCAGTTTTTGTTTTACATAACTTAGTTCAACATAGGGGATTTCAAATTTATTTGGTTGATTTGTGCTTTCAGATTTAAAAGATTCTTGAAGAGCAATTTTCATTTTATGTGATAACTCAGTTATATTTTCAGCTTTTTTAAATACATTTGCAAAAAAGGTGTTAAATGTTTCTGCTGTTAACTTTTGATCAGTTATTGGCAAACCATTTTCATCATTTATATAGGATGTCGGTTGACCATCTGTTTTTCCTGATAGATTTTTCAAGTTTTTCCAAAGTTTTTTAGGATTTTTCTTATTTGAATTTATCTCATGGTTAAAAAAATCTGTTTTTGCTATATGGATGAGTTTTTTCACTTGTGTCTTCCAGTACTTGAAGTCATCAACATTATTTTTCTTTTTTGCATAGTCCCTACTATGTATTGCATTAGCTATATCTCCATTGAACCAATCAGCTTGATTTTTATGTTTAACTCTTTTTTGTTTGTATGGAGCATGTATGTTAAGAGTTTCTAAAAATAATTTGTTAAAAGTGTCTAAAGCATCATCTGGATCATTAAACATATCAATAAGGGACCATGGTTGTTTTGACAGATCATTTAGGAATGTATCAGCATTAAAGTTCTTTAAGTACCTGTATTTGATTATATCATGCGTTGGACCCTTTTTAACATTTTTATTTGTTCGTCTAGTAAAAATTATTGGAAAATGATCACTAATTGAAAGTACAGGTACTGCAGTGTATGAGATATTTTGTGGTTGGTTACTATAGATATGGTCAATAATAGTTGATGATGCTGGTGTAACTCTAGTAGGTTGTTTAATAAGTTGAGAAAGATTAAAAGTATTGATTATATTGTTCCATGTTGAATTATTTGAGCCTGAAGCACCAAAATTGTAGTTAAGATCTCCAAAAAGAATTACTTCTTTGTCTTCAGTAAATATTTTATCAAGGACCTCCTCAATTTTATAATTCCACGAAGTTAATGATGAAGGTGGCCTGTAAATGTATCCTAACAATAAAGGCTTTTGCTTGTCAAGTTTCATTTCAAGCCATATTGACTCAATTTCCTCAGACTGTAGGTCAACTCTTAGTTCACATGGCAATGAAGACTTCACATATAAAACAATTCCCCCACCATTTGATTTCCTGTCACGCCTAAAGAGTTGATAATTATTTAAAGTTAACTCTGAATCAGAAAAAACATCACTTAAAAAAGTTTCTTGAAGTCCTAATACATCAATGTCAGGATATTTGTCTACTAAATATTTGATATCGTAAAGTTTGGGGTAAAGATAGTGAATGTTTAAGTGGAAAAAGTTTAGTCCTTTCTTATCAAATGTTATTTCATTCAAAGTGGGGAGTATATCAACTCCTTCATCACATTCTAATAAAGATGAGTTCTCTGATATTGTTCCTTGAGTGTTGTTCACTTTTTTATTTTGGTCAGTAACGTTTATCAAACTTTCATCTAGGTCATTCTCTAATGACGGTGCGGAACCATCCATGTTGGCCAGGGATTCCATACTCCACGATAAACTCCAAACCTGGGATGAGGATTTGGAATTCTCCGAGCATTTTTCTGTCTGCTGTTGGCATGTCGAAAATTTACATGGTCTCTGGAAGAGTTGCTTACTTGTTGTCTGGAACTGTTGTTTTCGATGCCAAGGATTTTCCTTATGCCTGCATTGAGTTGTTTTCCCAGTACAGTCGAACCTTCTCTATTGAGATGAACTTCATCGTAATAGAGACTTTGATCAGTCTTACCATTTTTCAAGAATGCACTAGAATTGTCAATATAAAGGAACCCATTGGTCTTGCAGAGCTCTGCTATTAGACTATTTGTTTCAGCAATATTTTTCCTTGACAGCAGATCTCTCTTTTTTGGCAGAATAGATGATATTCCAATTCTCACTTTTTGGTTGACTGTCTGTAGTAAATTAACTATTTCTTTGAAGTCTTCACAGATAGTATGCGGAGAGTTGGCATTGGAGATATTGTTTATGCCTGTATGCAAGATGATTAGGTCAGTTTCTTCTGTTAATATTTGATGTGATCTATCATCTTCAATTTTTGTCTTGAGGTCCTGAACAGTTGCACCACTGGTTGATTTTATGGTGACATTTATCTGATTAGTACTCATTTTTTTTCTTATAAGTCCTTTAGTGACTGAATCTCCCAGAATGAGTACTTCATGTTTTTTCTTCGCTGGGCTCACACTTCTGTCTGGAGTAGATAATTCTGTGTTATTAGGACTTCTGCATGTTTCTGAAAGAGATTGCTTCCTTTCATCTATACAACTGATATTCTGTGTTGGTAGACAGGTGTTTTCATTTACAGGATTTTGGGTTTCATTCTGATGATCTGAGGTTATACTTTTACTTTTTAGAAGTTGTATCTCATGCTTAAGAGAGTATATGTCAGATTTAGCTGCAACATTTTCTGTTCTTCTTTTAACCAGTTCAAGTGAGTTTGCAAATTCCTCAAATTGCTCTTTCATGGAAACAAAATTTGACTGAAGTGTGTCAATAGTATCTTGTTGTTTCTGTTTCATAGAAGCCTTTTCTCGTAATACTTCATTTTCCTGTTTTAAAGACTGATTTGTCTGTCTTTGTTTCATAATTTCTTCTTCAAGAAGTAGAATTTTTGCATTTTGGTCACTTTTGAAGTCTTTTAAGTCTTTGATTGACGACTTAAGTTCTGCATTTTCAGTTTTGAGTATGTTATTTTCTGTGAGACATTTGCTGCATTTTATGTTTAAGTTCTCTTGAAAGTCACACTGCACAGAGAAATCACATTTTTCTATTAATGAAGAAGTAAATGTTTCATTAGAGTAAGACAAGATGGATTTTACTGCTGTTTCTTCACTGTTTTTTGTCAGATTTCTGTAGTTCATTGGTGTATTCCATTTTGACTGTCCAATTTTGTGTAGCTTTTGTTCAGGTTTCTTGCCAGTTTCTTGAATGATAGTTAATTGCCTGTTAAATTCTTGGTAATCAACCTTCTGCCCACCCCTTTTCTCAGTTTTCTTAGCCTTTTTCAACTCTTTTCCAAGTTTTAGCATCCCACTGTTTAGAGATGGACCAAAGATTGCTCTAGATACAGAACTTAAAATACCAGTTGATTTTGATTTGGTGAGGTTCTTTTGAGGTGTCAGATTAGGACTACTGATAGGAGATGGTGTCAGAGGAAGTGAATGGTGCTGTTTTGAGCCTTTTACATTCGGTGTTGAGATTGTTGGCGTTTGAGGCATGATGGGTTGCATTTTTCGATCATTGGTATCATTGTTACATTCAGATTGTTTTAAGTCACATTTTATATGCTCAAGGATAGTGTCCAACCATACTCTGCATCCAGTTCCTTGGATCAACATTTTCATTGTCTTGTTATATACTGTAATAACAACTTTCATGTTTGATAGAGTTATTGTTGTTGTTAGCCCAGTATTGTCCTTTGTAGGTTCTAATTGATACATAGACTGTAGAATTTGAAGCATTTTTGCATGTGTTGATTGTTGAAAAAATGTAATTGAAATATTGTCACTTGTTGGGCTGACATACAGATCAAAAAGATTATCAACTGTTATGTTGTCAGACAAGTCATTGTTTGAAAATCCTTCAAAATCCTCCATATCCATTGATGAATGATTAGAAGCCATTATCACAGATTGTTGTTAACACTTTAGTCCATTAAATATTTAAAGCCATTTTAGCACCTTTTGTTTGCAAGATTAGTAGGAATTTCAGGTATTTTGAATGAGAATTTATTAATCCTTCTTTATATAAAATAAATGAGAAAAACACAGTGGAACTGAACAGTTTTCATCCAATTATGAATTTTCTAATCACAAAAACACTTTTTAATGTTAATATTAAGATGCAGAATTGTCCAAGGAATTGAGTCATATAAATATATCCAATTTCTTTAAAGGTAATCCATTTTTATTTGAAAGAATAGTGAGAGCAAAAAATGCACGTCTGCACAGTTTGAAAGTCCAGTTAAAAGTAGAGAAATATTTTTAACATTATAACAAACTCAATCAATATGCTGTTAACACATTTACAAATTATTAAGCACACTATAAAGAAAGATGGACTAAGATATAGAATGTTGAATATTTCAGGTGCAGTCATTACAAAGTTGGAAGAGCGAGGTATTACAGTCTCAGTCATTTATTTCCCCGGAGATAAAACGTGAACATGATTGTAACTCGTACAACTCTAGTTTAGAAATACAGAACACGTTAGCTCGTGCTGAAATGATACATCGTATGGGAGACACGATGGCTACACAATCTACAATAGATACAACCAAACAGCGGGAACTCGAGAAAACATGTCTGAATCTACAGTCACAGGTACTGTCATGGCCTCCAATACAAAATCCATATATATCTGCCGTGGTCATCTTACAAAATCCACCTATATCTGTCATGGCCTTCAATACGAAATCCACCTATATTTGTCATGGCCTTCGATACAAATCCATGTATATCTGTCATGGTCTTCTTACAAAATCCACCTATATCTGTCATGGTCTCCAATACAAAATCCACCTATATCTGTCATGGTCATCTTACAAAATCCACCTATATCTGTCATGGCCTTCAATACGAAATCCACCTATATTTGTCATGGCCTTCAATACAAATCCATGAATATCTGTCATGGTCATCTTACAAAATCCACCTATATCTGTCATGGTCTCCAATACAAAATCCACCTATATCTGTCATGGTCTCCGATACAAAATCCACCTATATCTGTCATGGTCATCTTACAAAATCTATCTATATCTGTCATGGTCATCTTACAAAATCCACTTTTATCTGTCATGGTCATCTTACAAAATCCACCTATATCTGTCATGGTCATCTTACAAAATCCACCTATATCTGTCATGGTCATCTTACAAAATCCACCTAGTTCTGTCATGGTCTCCAATACAAAATCCACCTATATCTGTCATGGTCTCCAATACAAAATCCACCTATATCTGTCATAGTCTCCAATACTAAATCCACCTATATCTGTCATAGTCTCCAATACTAAATCCACCTATATCTGCCGTGGTCATCTTACCAAATCCACCTATATCTGTCATGGTCATCTTACCAAATCCACCTATATCTGTCATGGTCATCTTACAAAATCCACCTATATCTGCCGTGGTCATCTTACCAAATCCACCTATATCTAGAGCTGTCATCGATAGAAACAATATCAATGTATCGTTGATGTTTTTCTGTCAATCAATGATCAATACACTTTTAAAAAAATAGATAATTTTTAATTATTAGTGAAATGTCTAAAAATTATGAAAATTCGCCCAAACCATATACAGAAGCAGGTGTCCATGTCTAACACTTTGCTGTTGTTACATAATGGAAATATTTTTGTAGCAGTGATGACAAAAAATGGTCAGGAAAAAATATTGCAGTTGGCATTAGACACTGAACAGAACATATAATTTACTGAAATCATTCAAACAGGTATGAAAGTGAATGACAGACAAGGAATTTAGGTAATCATTGATATATCGGTGTATCATTGATATTTGTCATCTGATATAGACATATTATTGATATGCTTTGAACTGAATCAATGACAGCTCTACCTATATCTATTATGACCTTCTCTATCCAACTCTATCTGTCATGATCTACCATTGAAAATACTGCGCTTATAATTCTGAATATATATGTCCTGTCTACTTATCTACAATAGTAAAGTATATTGTAAGTTAAACTTGTACCAAGATTATGTTTTTCTATGTTTCATGTATAGTTGCTAAGCTTAATGAATTTTATTTAAGTCCATGTAAAATTTTCTTTTTTTAAGATTGTCACTTCTGTTATAAATATATTTAGCTTGAGTGATCCTTTTAACTCAATTGATCTTTTAAATGGTAAGCAGTTGTGCAAATATCTTAATTGGCTGTATTTAGTAACAAATTTGTTATTTTATAAATTGTCAGGTTAGCCAGCTGCAGGAAGCATTGAAGTCTGTGTCTAGTATAGTGTTACAGAGTACCGGAGGGTCAATGCAGGGGTCAGTGCATGGTTCCTTGCCAGTCACACCACGGTCAACTCAGTCCATCTCAAGTTTAAACACAACTGGCAACACAAACAGAGGTAGGTCTATGATAACATAAACATATCGGGGTGTGCAGAGTGTCTCATTGTGACTGTGAAGTTTGGGGTTCCATATAAATTATACCAAACACAAAGAAATTACCAAAAAGACCCAAAAACACCATCAAGACAATACCTTTAATTGGCAAAACAGTTTATATTGCATTAAGAGACCATGAGAGGGAATTTAGAAAAAATGTACACTGTATATACAAAGTCAGTATATTTTTGTGTGTAATTTATATTTACATTGACAAAATGTGAATTTACATATAGAAATTTTACGATAGTGTTAAAATATAAAAAAACAATGAAATACAAACTTTTTGCAATGATCTAAAGGTATTTTCTTGCCAATGGGAGTGTTTTAACTCTTAAAGACTTAACTCTACCTGAATTGAAGAGAATTGGTTTAACAAAGTGTGATATTAATTGATACAATAGATGATATTTCCATAGTAACAAACTGTAGTCTCTCCATTCTGTATCATATACTGTAACCTATCATTCTAGTAGCGTGTAGAATCATTAGTTATATAATATATCATGATACTTTCACATGGGAAAATCTTGTTTTATCTTCTTATAAAGTCAATTATTTACATTCTAAAGCTGGAACATAATATTACTGAACATGCAATTACCAACTTGATTAACATGCAACTACCAACTTGATTAACAGTATATTGGCATCCAATTACATCCAATTAGTGGATAATGCTTAAATGTTTAAATTTTCATAACATCATGTCAAGACCATATAAGTTCAAAAGGACTCAGTTATTTACACTCTACTAAAATACATGTAAATATACCTTTTACAACAAATAATATGACTAAATGGCAGCACATGCTCCTTATTTAACTAAAAGGTAACCAGGCACTAATCTCCAGTTAATTGTTCAGTTATAATATGTCACAGTCGAAAGATTTAATGTCATAGATTTATGTTTTTACAAATGTTTTCATTATTTTTACTGTTTTAGATAAATTTCAAACTGTAACAGCAATTGATAGAATTTTTTTTTGTATTTGTTTTTTTTTTTAAAAGAAAGATTTTTTTTCATCAAAGGAAAAGGTCTTGTTTCTCCACTTGAGTTAGACAAGCAAAGAACTTAAGTAATAAGAGCATAAATGAAATGATTTTATTGAGAATTGATTTTAATTAGGTGTTTTTTTTGTTGTTGTTTTTTTTTTCTAAAAAGAAAAGAGTATCAAAACAGAACACAGTAAAGTCATGTGAAATAATTGGACATTTTTCTGTATGAAGTGTTATTGGTCTCTTTGGTTTATTGTTGCACATATGAAGAAACTCTGACTTAGTATACATTTTATGTTCATCATTTTTGCACTGTTACTGTAAGACTGTGGAAACAAGGAAGATACTTACATTATGATCAAATTTTAGAACTATTTTTGTAAAACGTAGAAATAACGTTAATTCTGGTGCTATCTAGAAGGTATATATAATATTTACATACTACATGTATATTTCTGGACAGAATTTGAAGAGGAGGATATTTTGGTGACGGGAGATTTTGATGAGTTTGAGATTACCGATTATGACTCGGGATCTCATTGGGGTAAGACGTGACTATCGTGCCCGTATAGTTCTCTATCTTTCTATCTATCTCTTATATAGCCACAGCAGTGTTAATGTCTACTTTATTTAGTTTTACCTGCATGCTTACAATTGAACAATCAAGACTTTGTGATACTTTGATGCAGAAATTTGATTAATAAAGTTTTTACAAAAAAAAAAAATTGGACAACTGTCAATTTCCTTATTATTGAGTGTTATATATTTGAATTTCAAGCCAACCTTAGTAATTGAGCTCAATTTTGTTTAAAATATTAATTGCAGCTGTTGCAAAATTAAGTTATTATACACAAAAGGTGATAATAAAATAGTAAAGTATCTACAATTTACTGTGACCTTTCAAGAAATAAAAATTGACATTTTGTTTAAGAAGAAACTTTCAGAAAGACAATCATATAAAGATTGCAGTCAACTTTGTCTTGAATGATCATACTATGGGACTGATGCATGATGTGTTACCCCCAAAATTGTGACAGTTTTACTCCTTGTTTTATATGTAGAATGCATGCTTGCACAATTTTCATATTCAAATATTTTGTTGTTATGACTGCATGAAAGCATGTATGTTCTGAGTTGTAAGTACATATTGTACTTATGGTTGAAAAGGAAATAAACAAAACTCAGATTTTTGTTTAAAAAAAAAAAGAAGTCACAGTTGCATCTGTTTCAACACAGCATTATTATTGCATGCTTATATAGAGACAGTTTTATTACCCCCCTTGGTTGATGGGTGTTACCCTGCTGGTGTTATCATGTTAGAAAACTTTAGTTAACATAGTCATATTTGAGTCTCTCTTGTCATAACTGGAATTATTAGATGTTGATGTTAAAATGTTACATATTTCAACTTACATAGAACAATAATAAGAAGCTTGTGACTGACTCTACAATAAAATATCTATAGTAACATACCTTTAGTCTTATCCTTAATAACTTCTTAAACATTTTTGTTTCATAATTATTAAGCTTTGTTTCAGTGTGTCTATAAATTTAGGTTTTTTGTTTCTATGTTTGCAACTTGTTAAGGGCTGCAGCCCCGCTGCTTAATTTGTCTGTCACATGTTGAAATTACAGTAATTCTAAACTATCCCTAACAGCTGAGATTATATATATCTCTAGATCTACCAACATATACATGTTTCTGACTACTGTTTTTAAATAAAAAATAATCTAATAGTACCTGAGCTAAAACTCAATAAATCATAGATTTAGTCTCAAATGGATTTATAATTAACAGTGCTCTTAATTACTTTAACAGATTAACTAAACCTAGGTGATTGTATATATGTATATATAGAATGTATAGATCATCACCATTAAATCATCACTTGTTTAGATATAACATTACAAATATAGAGAAATTGTTTCACCTAACATGTGAAAATGTAGAAAGTAGGCTTGTTCTTTATGGAAATACATGTATAGAATTTGCTGATAATAACCTTTATTTTCATATTCCAGTAAATTCTATGTCATTTTAAAACATGAATTGTATAACTCTTGTAAGGTATCTACAAAATATTCATTGCATGTACTTCTGTAAAAACCATCACATATATATTCTTATTTTTATCTTATGTACATACAAACCTGTGATAAAGGCCACCATTCATGTACATAAAGGCCACTATTCATGTACATACAAACTTGTGATAAAGGCCACTATTCATGTACATACCAACCTGTGATAACGGCCACCATTCTCTGCACACCTTGACCAGGCAATGTTTGTTATAGCTTTATGAGTTGCTAGGTTCAAACTATATACATGTATATAATATGGCTAAATTTAGTAGTAGATTCTGTGTACAGAGGCAATATTTATTTTAGAACCAATAAATACATAATACATGTATTGTTATAGTATTTATAATTTAGTTTGATATACAAGTACGCAACTTTTGAATTTAGATGCCTGTTCAAGCAAGAGACTGGTAAGAACTAGATTTTGACATGGTTGTCTACGTTTAGAAGGGCATTTATAATTCATAAAGAAATAAATGCATACATAATTAATTAAATCATTTAAATACACGATTTATATAATCTGGTTAAGTATACAGTATTGAATGATTGCAGATTATAAGCTTACTAGAAATACCTCCTGTAAAGTTGTGTGATCATTTATTTGACGTCATTACATTGTGAATTCTGTATTTGATATGTTTTAAGACCATGTGTAAACAGTTTACCATTGTTATAATACAATATGACTGATATATATAGATCGAGCACATAGTTGTAACCTTGTTTATTTTGAAATTTTGCAAATCATCTTATTATGTTTGAAGGTTATAAATGAATGAATGTCTTTATATAAGATTATAATTTATGAACCTGTAGTCTGCTGGGCAGAAACTAAATACTCCCATGTGACCACTGCAGACCAAGATCTGTGCACTATTTATCTTATTGTAATGGCTGCTTGCATTTAAAGGGTTATTAATTTATCATATACCAATCTGAAATAAACATAATCAACTTGTATAATTGTAGATTATAATGTTATATGCACTGATATCTGAATGACTTTTGATGTGTATGGTATATTTTCAGGTACAGTGCCCCACTCCCTGTCCCCGTACCCCTCGGAGGAGGAGGAGACATATTTTAAATCTGTGCCACAGCCAGGATTTCCTACGCCACCTCGAGGTCTGAGGTTAGAGAATCGAGGGCCGTCAGCCCTCGTATTAAGATGGCAGGCATCAAAGATACTGGACAGTGAGGGTAAAGAGACCAGTAAACCTTTGCTGGGTACGTTTTTACACATATTCTCTTAATTTATGATTAGTGAAGATAGTGTTTCTTCAGTATAAGAGATTTATTATAAGAAATTCATGTTCTTATGTTAGTTCTAGAAGCTCTTAAAAAAACCCACATAAAATGTTTTAAAAAAAACAGCAACACATAAGATCCATTTAAAACACAAATTCTGTGTTAAATTTTGTAAAATGTTAAATTTAAAAAAAATTGCTACACTTTAATGAAATGTTTTAGATCATTTTAGCTGACTTTAATTTTGGTTATATCAGCAATATTGAACAAGTTTGTAACAGTATAGTATAACATTGTTATTGTATGTATATCAGAACAGGGGAGATAATGCATTATATAATGTTACAGGTTATCGTGTATTTGTGAATGACAAACCTAAAGCAATGATAGCTGGTACAAAACAGAAGGCATTGATTGAAGGATTAGACCCTTCCCTTACATACAAGTATGTAGCATGTCTTTTAATTGAATATTGGTTATAAATAAAAAAAGTTATAAGTTACCATTTAAAGGCAAACTCCTTGCATTCTTGTTTGGGAAACTAGCTGTAATTCAACATGTTTGACATGAAAACAATTATTTAATTTAGATTTTTTTGTGCATAACCTAAAATATATTTTGTTGTGACCGCTTAATGATTTGACTCCGGTTATAAGCCCTAAAATTAGAAATTAATTGTGGGAGTTTTTACATAATCATTATATTTGCAGGATCTATGTGAAAGCAGTATCAGATCTTGGGGAGTCAAACAGTTCCGATGTTGTCATGGCTGCACTTGCCAAGGGGTCACGACGAAGGTCATCAAGTAGCGATAGTAACAGATCATACGACAGTGACCGCGAGTCAACAAGTAGTGAGCGGAGAACTCCTCATAGAAAAGATTCAAGGAAAAATCGTAAAACTAAATCGCCAAGGTCGTCAAAGCAGGAAAGAACAAGTTCTAGTCATAGGTCAAATGTAAGTACAACAGAAAGACCGCCTTCTAAAATGGAATTGGAGGCTGAAGGTATAATGACCCAGCCGAGGATGCACAAACATCGTAGAACTCCGAGTAAAGATTACCAGAGCAGAGATGACAATTTGAAACCAAAGGAGACGCCACAAAGTCCTGTAATGCGTTCACCAAAACACCAAGCCCAGGAATCTCAGGGTTTTAGTTATGATAGCAGAAGTAAGGGTGAACATGTAGCTGACTCGCAACAAAGTATGTCATCTACATTTACAATTGATAGTCAAAATTCTGTTATTCTTGCCTTAAGTACTGGTGGGAAATCTGTAGACATTGATAATAGTGTTGATACTAAAGAAGGTCATGTGAAAGGTCATCGTCGCAGACGTAGTCGTGATATGAAAAATGAAAAGTTGGAGAGCAAAGGGGATATATCTGACAGTGGGTCTTCTGTTTCAAGTGCAATTATTCTAAGTAGAAATATAGATAGTGCTAATGATAAGAATTACAGTGGGACAGAAAGTCCGTCAGTACGTAGTCGTAGATCAAAAGACTCTTCAGCGAAAGATACTTCAAAAGACGACAGTGACACTGGAAGTTTACATAGAAGTGATAGTACAAGTAAAAGAAATAGTGCAAAGATAAGTCCCACAGCAGGTAGCCAGGGTGTGCCTGTAATTGATGGGCGGAGACGTCATGGGTCAGGAAGCAGACCGTCCAGTCCCGCCCAGGGAGAGGTGTCCGAATCACGATCTTCTGTAAATGCAGCTGATAGACGCAGAATGCCAATGGCAGACTTGCTAGAACAGAGATTTTCTGGTCGTGTTGGTCAGAGTACTGGTAGTACTGCCTCGTCTACAGCAACATTAACACAGAGTCAGGTAGACAGTAGTACAAGTGACCTACCACCTCAGATTCCACGGAGAGATGGTAAATACTCAAGTCTTGAAAATCTGTCAACCAAATCTTCACACGAGTACAAGAGCAGTCCTACGGAGAGATATTCTCCCACCGGGTCAGAGAGAAGGCGTACTAGTTCAACATGTTCGGAGAGTGAAATACCGTCAAGTTCATCTGCAGCACGCCAGCTTGATATGGACACCAAAAATTCTAATTCAAATCCTGGAAATACTGGCATTGTAGCCAAATTGTTACAAAAGTTACAGAACTTTTCCAAGTCACAAGAAGAATCATTACAAACAACAAAATACAAGCGTAAATCCGGGGAGACGAAAGATCCGCCTCGTAAAACAAGTGGTGATAGTGACAGTAGTGAAGTCAATACTGGACAGGGTACAATACAGAGTGATTCATCTGGTGCACACTCAGACGATAGTCAGCAAGTGACACGACCCTCGTATAGAACACATAGAAGGTATACAAACTTCTTAGTTAACAAAAATTTCTTGATAAACATCAATGCCATTGAAAGTCATGGTAGATATAGATTATTTAAAAAAAAAGAGAGAAAAAAAGGGAGGATGGTAATTTTATTATTGAATGATTTCCTCATGTAAGTCTGTTGAACTTGTTTATAACATTTGTAGAATTATCTAACTTTTATTCATATTTCAATTTTTAAGCATTCTTGAAAAAAATATCAATAATGGAAACGTTTTGTCTTTCTGTAGCAATCATTATATATGTATATGTATGTTATTTTTAGCCCTCGGACATTGAGTAAGCATCTAAGCTTGTTCCATCTGGATAAACTGTCCTAACATTGCCTGTATATATACGTTAAAACTGTCATCATAACATGGTAATATATTAGCACTTGGTATTTGGGAAAACATTTGACACTGTTTGATGTGACAGGTGACTACACTTGTTTGTTTTGGAGGAGGCAGCATCATTTAATTTTGTAGCAGGAAAAATAATGTTTAATCATAATTCATTTTTCAAGGTAATCAGGAATAAAAAAACAAGTAAACACATTAAAGCTCGATTGTATGTAAGGGTATAATAAATCTTCATGGAAACTTTTCTTACACATACATGTATGGTGAAATTGGACACACATGACATTAATAACACTTTATGTTGGCTTGGTATAATTGTAATGCAGGTTATGTAAAATGGTGACAGGACATTTCAGTTTGCTGATGCACAGGAAGAATATGAAATAAAGTTTCTGACATTCTGATTTATTTATAAAGGTGAAATATGAATATGATAATTTTTCAAAATTTATGAACAAATAGTATTTTTTTTTTCCAGATTTTATTTAAATAATTTATGTTAATATTTTCATTTATCAGAACTGCGTCTGATCACCGAGGAGTACCTGTAAAGATGTCAGACCAGCCATCGTCATCATCACATCGTCAGGATCACAGTCCAGTTATTATGGACTCTAGTAAAACATCGCCCGCCCCTTCATCATCCACCAATATTAAACGTCACGCATCATTCCACGGCATCTTACCATCAAAGAAAGAAGACCTTGTACGCAGCGGATCAACTGTAAGTTTGTATGAGAGATTCTGTGATCATAGCAATCTGATTGTATCTTATCATATTGGTATTCTGCATTTGTCAGTCAATGTCATACAACAAATGTATCAATACTCTTAGAATGGCCTACATTTTATTTTACTCTGTAACTGTAATTGTACTGCTCCTAGTATATTTTAAACTATAACCTACCTCAGACAAACCATATAGTCCACCATAGGGTAGAACATTGTCTTTCCAATTTCTTTACATTTTATGAAATCAGAAACCTGCTTTTCTATTTTCTGAACTTTCTATTTATGCATTGCATCCCTTAAATTTTATTGATGCTTGTTTCTACAAATATTAACAGATTTTGTTTCTTTATGATTTCACAGGAAAATCTTGCAGTTGAGAAAGTTTCTACCACAGTAACAGGAAAACAGCAAAATATTGTAAGTTCTTATTGCATTAAAATATAGTTGAAACAATTTTTTTCCATCCATTTCACTCTTTGTACCATAAACATTTTGTCATTGGTGTATGACTATGTCAATGCTCTGTGTACATGTAGTTTTAACACCTGTGACAGCTTAATAGAAGTTGTTTACTGATTTAATCTGTCATGTACATGTTTGTGTTTATAGTAGATTATAGTAGATGCTTTATATGTTGTTGCTTTTAGTGACTCACTTGTCATTGTTCCATAAGTTGTGTGTCATAGTTCCATCATCATTATCATCAGCATAGTAATCATCATCATCAGCAAAGTAATCATCATCATAGTAATCATCATCATTATCATCAGCATAGTAATCATCATCATAGTAATCATCATCATCATAGTAATCATCATCATAGTTATCATCACCATCATCATCATCATAGTAATTATCATCATCATAGTAATCATCATCATCATAAAAGTAATCATCATCATCATAGTAATCATCATCATCAGCAAAGTAATCATCATCATCATCAACAGTAATCATCATCATCATCATCATAGTAATCATCATCATCAGCAAAGTAATCATCATAGTATCATCATCATCATAGTAATCATCATCATCATCATCATCATAGTAATCATCATCATAGTAATCATCATCATCATATTAATCAACATCATCATAGTAATCATCATCATCATCATGGTAATCATCATCATCATCATCAAAGTAATCATCATCATCATCATAGTAATCATCATCATAGTAATCAACATCATCATAGTAATCATTAACATCATCATGGTAAGCATGAATTATATCATAGCCATCAGATATTCACTGTTGATAGTTGTAATGTACTGAAGGAAGACCTTGAATTTCTTTAAAGATTTTCACATTAGGGCTTATAGTAAAATTTTGAAGCACTGCCTATTTCACAAGTGATAACAAGTTGACATGTTATATTTCTATACTGATAATGACAAATGACAAAGTTGGAATATTTCAGCACCCTTGCTGTAGCAGACGTTGATTTTAGCCAAATCTTTAGAGCCTGTGGTTGTAATAGGACAAAAATAACTATAATACAAATTTAAACTAAGATTAGCCCTCCAAATAAAAAACTTCAAATGGAAATATTGTGTCTGACGGCTAGTTTAAGTCATCTATTTGATAACTATGATCAGTCACTGCTTCCAATGATAGGTCATTAAAAGACAGATTTGACAGTTGGTACTTACAACCTAGTATCATGTTGTATGTGAGATAGAGTGTAGTCATCATCTACATTATTCATTATCATATTTTCAGTTTCCTCCAAGATTCCGTATTCATCGTCGACATAATCATTCTGTAGATAAAATTGTGTTCTCACGTCATATGTTATCTATTGCGGAATAAATCATTTATAACCAAATATTTGTTTGGTGAGTTACTGCTTAATATTAGGTATTATATGGCTATTCCTTTCATCTTCATAGTTTTGTGTTGTACCTAACCAGAACAGTCTATATATGTTTTACCTCACTAGATTAGAATGTTTATGTGTTGTATTTCACTGGATTAGTCTTCATGTATGTTGTGCTTAACTGGAATAGTCAACATATACACGTATGCTGTATTTGGCCGAAATAGTCTACATATTTGTTGCACTTGACAGAAATAGTCTACATATATCTTGTATTTAACATGAATAATCTACATATATGTTGTATTTAACCGAAAAAGTCTACATATATGTTGAACTAATTCAAAACAGTTAACATATATGTTGTACTTGACTGGAATAATCTACATATATGTTGTACTTAACCGGAATAGTCTACATATATGTTGTACTTTAATAGAATACTCTTTATATATGTTGTACTTAAATGGAATACTCAACATATATGTTGTACATTACTGGAAAAGTCTACAAACATGTTGTACTAAACCGGAATTATCTACATATGTGTTGCTTTTAACTGGAATTCTATAAATATGCATTGTGTTTAAACAGAATATTTACTTTAGTTCTATATATGTGTTGTGTTCAGAAGAATAAAGTTTACATTAACCAGCAAAGTTGTGCTTAATATGCAATTAACATTATTTGTTGTTATTTATGGTGATAATTCAACAATATATGTTGTTATATATGGTGATGGGTTAGGACATTGAAATCAGACTTAATTTGTCACATATGAAATGCTTTTTTCTTTCACATCTTGCCCTATTATGAATATTTTATGAAACAGGTTAGAAAACTGCTTTCTATACCTCACTATATTATATGATCTAATTATAATAACTATGATGCGTTGATTGATTTATGAAAGTACACATATGCCGTAAAAATCACTGGCTTTAACCTATTTGAATAAAGATGCTAAGAGTTATTTCTGTTTGGCATATATATAAATTCCTTGTTTCTTTTCTTCTTGTTTCTGGCAGGGGAATTATTAAGGTACTGTTGTTTTTTGCAATGATTGGCTGATATTATATAAGGCTGTGATAAGAGTGGCATTAACTAGACTAGGACAGCAAAGCTTCTATACTAAAATATCATAGTGTACAATTATTGGAGTGTATGAGTTTATAGTTTGCTATATTGAATTGTTAAATGATTGGCTTATATAACTGTAATTATTAGAGATATATCATCATTGTTATAAAACTTGATTTTCTAGATTTGATTGATTTAGCTTATATGATCAATTTGGTTTAAAATCTTCATTAATTACATCATAAACAACAAAAGGTCATGTTTGCAGGTCATTTTGCAGCATACTCAGCAATAAATTGTTTCTTTATGGGACAAAAATAAATTAATCGCAATTTAAGAAGTAAAAAGCTTGTCTTTTTTTTAAAGCATTTTTTGAATGTGAAAATAGGAGAATAAAGTAAAACAAGCAAAATTTTCATAAATACATGTAAAAAGAGAACTTGAAAAGAAATAGAAAGTTTATATAAGAAAATTACAATAAAGGAAATGTTACAATATTGTTTACAGTTTTGGATGTACAAAACAAGTGGGCAGTTATACCACCAAGACTCGGTGACTTAATATTTTTATTCTATTTTTTGGATTTAGGTGTTTGGTTGTTAATAAAAGTCTAAATCATTTATAAATAATGAACTAATGTAGAATTAGATATTTTATCTACACTTTTCTCTCTCTAATATGGGTTCAAATCCTGAACTTTTGATTCTGTTATTTGAGGAAGCTATCTAGCTACCCTACAGAAAGTCATCAGGTACTTGCTTGATTGAAGCTGAAAAGTTACCATAACATGATCTTTTCTAAAAAGACAACAAAAAAAACCAACAATGTTATCCCAGCTTTATTAAAGAATTCTATGAGTGCTCAGCCAGGTAATAATACGATGCAATCATATCAGATCATACTTTAAGGTGGGCTTATCAATTTTATATTTTTGACACTAAAACCTCAGAAATTAACAGTTAAAATAATTACTAGGAAAATAGACAATATCATATCTACTTTATGTTTGTTTTTTTAATTTGATTTAATATATACAATTTAGAGCTTGTGGAGAATGAGGGGACACCTGAAATGCTTTGACATTATAACAAAAAAAAGCTTTCTTGTTTTTTGTTTATAAATATAACAATGATAAAACATTTTACTGAATATCAAATTAAATCATATTAATACTACAGACTTGTAGCTTTTTTCTATATTTTCTAACATAGTTTATAAAATCATTGAAGTTTTCAGTTTTACTTTGTTTTTATAATGTCAACGTGTCAATGTGTCTATACCACATTTCTTTTTCTGATTTGTCTTGGACAGAAAACCAAAACAAAATTAGTCCAGATACAGTGTAGTAACTTTGTACAGTGAAACAGCATGTTACAACATTTAGAAATTCATGTGGTTTCACTTAGCAAAAGATATACTGATTTTTTCCCCCAAGAAACATTCTGTATATAGTAAGTAAAACTATTATGAGTGGGTTCTACACTTTTACTGTTTGTAATAATAAATAAAATATAAAAGGTTTTTAACTGTGGTTGAGCAGTTTCCTTTAAAGGTTAAGGCATCAGAATTGCAGCTACCATTTAACCCTGCATGATTGTAAGAGCCAACTAAATTGGTTCGAATTACTTGAGACTATGCATCTCATAACACCAGCAGATGTGGTGGTTTTGACCCCTGGTGTTACTCTAAGTTTGAAACACCAAAGGTTTGCCAAAACCATCTATCCTGTTTCAGTGCCATATGACCTAAATTGTGTTAGTGTGCTGTAAAATCAAACAAAAATAAAAGTTTTAAAAGAAAATACTACCGGACTGTTATTTGTACTGGTTTTCTGCCCCTGACAGATCACAAAAAAGTGATACATTGTATTCATAAATATAAGAAATATTATCTTATAGATGGTAGGAGAAGTTTTTGTCTCGTTTAGGGTGTGGCTTTATATATAACATATGCTTTGATTTCTTATTGATGAAAAACTTATTTATAGGGTAGTTTTTCCTATGAAATTTTGTATTATAATATTTCAAACATAGCTTGTACAACATAGCTTTTTTGGAAACAAAAATACATTTTGAGAAATATTATCTCCATGCTATTTAAGCTAATAGATTTTATCCCAGAAAAATTAGAAGCCATTATTGGTTGGTTTTACTGACAGCTTATCTTCAGCATTTTCAAACTGGCTAGTCTATGACAGCATTACCAGGATTATAGTTTGTAACTTTGACAGGTAGAAGTGTCATTTTTTATTTATTTCCTCTTTCATAACATAGGATTTATTATTTGTTAAACCATGTTGAAATATTCTATTAATATGTTAATATTTTTAATTTCAGGATATCACAGTACCAACAACACCCACACGTCGACACAGGAACCGCTCTAGGTCACGTAGCCCCGGTCCAGCATCACCACACGTGCCTATCATATCTGCAGCACAGTTACAGAGAAACGCACGTGTACCCTCTACAGCAACTTAAAGTTACTTGATGAAATCAGTCAAAAGAAACATTTATAGAAAATGGCATTCCTGACTTATTAATAAGTTAGCATACTTATAAATACTCATTAGTTAAAGTGATTTAGCTTTCATGCTTGAGTAATTCATAGAGACTTTTAAGGAATTGTGTATAGTTTGAATGAACCCCAGAACTTAAAGGCTTGCATATTTGTATTGTTTCAATTATTACGCTAACTCTTAAGATTAAAGTATAGAATTATGTGATCTTAGATGATAATTATGTTCTCTACAGTTGCTGGAATTTAATAAAGTTGTGGTGATCTTGAATTAAGGTCAATTATAAAAGCTGCGTAAAATGAAGTTTTTATTTTTGCCATTTGCTAAAATCAAGATGGCAATGAGATAACTAAAATAAACATTGGTTGTCACTATCTCTTATGTTCTTTCCAATATAAAACAGGTGTGCCAATAAGCATTTCATATGGACAGAAATTATTGCATTTATTTTTTGTGTTCGATTTTTCTGCTTTAAAGCTTCTTACTGGTGTTGTTATGGTATCATATTATGTGTAAGCTTCGCTGCATTTTCATTTTATTTCGTTCATTTTGTGTAATTATTTTGTACTGTAAGCATTTAGTTGTATTCAACCTGTTCATTGAACATTTAGTTGTACCAACCTGTTCATGTAACATTTAGTTGTATTCAACCTGTTGATATAACATTTAGCTGTATTCAACCTGTCAACTAAGTATGTGATATATAAGATTCTGTGATAGGGTGAAGACCACGTGATGTCTGCAGGAAGACTCGTTAATGCCGTCCAGGATTTTGAGAATTATTAAAATTACAGAAGAGTGTTATTGTCTCGTCCCCTCCTACATGTTTATCTAAATAGTACAAAAATATACATGGAGAGAAAGAAAATTAAAGTTGTGAATTAAATACAATATATGCCCTGAATTAAGCTTTCGTACATTTTTTTTCCTTGACTGTAGACATTGTATATATAGCAGATGATCAAGATAAACATGTTATTGTTTTAAAATAATATGATACTGTAATATGGATATGTTATTACATATACATTAACAGCAGAAGTGATTTATTACTCAAATCAGCATGAAATGTTATATCAGAAAGTTCTAAACAAAAATATTTTTACAACCTGGTACTGTTGTAACGTATCTTGTAATTAAGATCTATAAACTTTCTGTTACTATAGCAACAGATTGAAACTTTTGAAACACTATACTTTGTCCCAGTTTGATTATAAATGATAGCAGGGTTATGCACTATTTCAATTGTGCTTCATTCATTATGTGAATATTATTCAAAGAAAATCTTTAAGGCGTTAAATCACCACGCCTCCAGATTCATGCTAATTTTCATAAAAAAATGAAAAAGTATCTAATAGTACAATATTGTGAAGTTACCAAAATAATGCAATTTAGACATTACCAATGGCACTTACAACCCATGTTAAATCTAATTACCTTATTCTTAAGTTTGATTTTATTGAAATATTTTTGCTCATCTGGAGGCGTGCAGCTTTTATAAATAAAGATTGATCATAAAAAAGGGATAAGAGGTTGTGATTTAAAGTCAGGGATATGCTAGAATTAATTTAAAACATTTACAATTAATGGCCATTAATATCATGTTATAATAACATAGCTGTAATTAACATTTACAGACAACCTTGTGAACAAAGGCCACCCAAAGGATAGACAGGACATGGCCATTGTAGACAAGTGGTAGTTATTTAGAGATTACTTTGTTCTATATAATCAATGAAGGGTTATAAATAAGTGGCCTTAAATTTACAGGATGGTCTTTATTTGAAGGTGGTCTTTAACACAGGTTTGGCTATATAGTTATATTTGTCTGCAGTAAATTTTGCATGCATACAACATCTGTGACCTATATATTATTTCTACAGATGATTTATTTTTTACAAACAATGACAGCACAAAAATTTTACTTCCCCTTATGATAGGCCAGGCCTGAAATGCTTACTTTTATTTAGACAGGCCAGCCTGAGTGTTGTCAGTATCCTATATTGGGTTGGTGGTAAAGTCTAATCTGATAATGAAATTCCCAGAATTTTAACATGAACATTTTTCTCTCTTCTCTCAATTTTAGGAAAACAAGTCCCAAGAACTCAACTGGTTAGTGGTTTTGTTAGAGGGCTATAAATAAATTAGATTTTTGTAGAGAAATTTAATGTAGTAAAAAAAAATGGTGATAGTGTAGGAATGACATGTATGTGATAGTTCTGAACAAAAAAGTTGTTATTCTGTTGTTTGTCCCTTGATTGTAAACCATTTTGATTTTAAACCTTGAAGTTAGTGATGCTTTTAAGTTTTTGTTATGTACATGTTATATATGTTGCAGGATTTGAACAATTCCATAATACTCTGGTAATCTTTAACCAACATGCTTGTATTCTGTTGCAAAATATTAAAGGAGAAATTCTAGATTTGAGTGTTTTATTTGTTATATTATTACTGATAGAATAAAAAAACATTACAACATTCCTGTTAAAGGTTAAATAAACATATAATAGCTCATATTGTAATTATGTTTATAAACAAATTTATTGATACTATTTTTGTAACACTATAATATATTTATAATATATAAATGATTTGACAGTAGCCATTAAATGATTTTAACTGGGGGGGGGGGGGGGGTAATAATTGCATAAATAATTAATGGTATTAAATTTTAACATTCTTGATATGTGTCTGTTGATGGTATTTCATACATTTTTATAAAGAAACTTAACTTCATTTATATTATCAATAAAATATATTACAGTATTAATTAAATGTAGGAAAAGCATTGGTGTTTTATGAAATAGAAATGGCTTGATATTTTGTGTTACTATATGGATTAACAGTGTTTTACTACATCAGTAATAATTGTATCAGTAATATTTTCATTAAAAACCGTAGTGGATTTGTAAATGTACTTTATTTAACTGATTCTATTGATGACTTCATTTCCTGTCGTTTGTTCCCCTCTCTTTCTCTTATTTTGTTGAATTAATAAATGATGAAATAATACATAATAATAAAATGTTATATTGTATATGTTGTACATGATATATGTATATATATATTGAGACGCTACTATATTAAACTTTTATCATTATTATATATTGAGGGACATGTATGAGCTATTGGGAAAATAATAAAATTTATTGCAAACTATAAAAAATGTTTTTGTTATCTTTGTTGCCATGGAAATCTTTTATTTTTATCTAACAATAAATGAGCAAAACAAAACTTCTACAGGAGAAATATATTTCAAACAGAGATTGTATTACCTGTGTATTTTTTTGTACAAATATAAGTACACATTTAGGTCTATAATGTAGACTTACAGAACAAAGTTTCATTTGTCATATATAAATCTTTAAAATCTTATTTACAAAAAAGATGCTGGCTTCCAGGTCCTATTTTCTTCATTTATACCCAAACCTACCAAATACATGTATTTTAAAGGAACTTGCGTATCTTTAAATGTAGACAAAACCATTAATTTTTATGGAATATTTCAAAATATTTACTGACAGAATAGCAAGGAGACTGATCAGATGGCACTTTATATCACATACAATATACATGTATGCCAAACATTCAAATGTTTAAGAGAATAAGGAAATACAATGCAACACCAAGAAAAGGTATAACTTTTATCAATGATCTTCCATTTCGTAATCTATATGATTCTTCATCAGGAAATATTTTGCTCAATCTTTTGCACCCATACATATGTAATGCTTCAAACATTTTGAGGTGTTCCCTGATTTGACAACATGACTGTAGACTGATGACATTAGCAAAAGGATTTAAGAGTTTTTTACTAAGAAGACTTTACAACTTGTGTAACACATTCATTATCTACCATTAAAACAAAGGGAGTCATGATGAAAGTTCCAATACCTGAGTATCATGTCTGGCTGTTTTTTGAGGAACAGTAGGGCCGCAGTTATCACCCAAGCTGTTTAACTAGTTGTAAAGGTGCAGCATTATGTACAAAAGGTAAGTATGCAGCATTATGCATGCAGCATTACGTACCTGGAGCAAGTATGAAGCATTATGTATCTGGAGCAAGTATGTAGTGTTATGTACCAGGAGCTAGTATGCAGCATTATGTACCAGGAGCTAGTATGCAGCATTATGTACCAGGAGCAAGTATGCAGCATTATGTACATGGAGCAAGTATGCAGCATTATGTACCTGGAGCAAGTATGAAGCATTATGTACCAAAGAGCAAGTATGCAGCATATTGTACCAGGAGCAAGTATGCAGCATTATGTACCTTCAGCAAGTATGCAGCATTATGTACCTGGAGCAAGTATGCAGCATTATGTACCAGGAGCAAGTATGCAGCATTATGTACCAAAGAGCAAGTATGCAGCATTATGTACCAGGAGCAAGTATGTAGCATTATGTACCTGGAACATGTATACAGCATTATGTATCTGGAAAGCAAGTATGCAGCATTATGTACCTGGAGCAGAGTAATGCAGCATTATGTACCTGGAGCAAGTATGCAGCATTATGTATCTGGAGCAAGTATGTAGGCATTATGTATCTGGAGCTAGTATGTAGCATTATGTACCAGGAGCAAGTATGTAGCATTATGTACCTGGAGCAAGTATGTAGTGTTATGTACCTGGAGCAAGTATGTAGCATTATGTACCTGGAGCATGTAAACAGCATTATGTACCAGGAGCAAGTATGCAGCATTATGTACCTGGAGCATGTATACAGCATTATGTATCTGGAGCAAGTATGCAGCATTATGTACCTGGAGCAAGTATGCAGCATTATGTATCTGGAGCAAGTATGTAGCATTATGTACCTGGAGCAAGTATGCAACATTATTATGTACCTTGAGCATGTATGCAGCATTATGTACCAGGAGCAAGTATGCAGGCATTATGTACCTGGAGCATGTATGCAGCATTATGTACCAGGAGCAAGTATGCAGCATTATGTACCAAAGAGCAAGTATACAGCATATTGTACCAGGAGCAAGTATGCAGCATTATGTACCTTGAGCAAGTATGCAGCATTATGTATCTGGAGCAAGTATGTAGTGTTATGTACCAGGAGCTAGTATGCAGCCTTATGTACCAGGAGCTAGTATGCAGCATTATGTACCTTGAGTAAGTATGCATCATTATGTATCTGGAGCTAGTATGCAGCATTATGTACCAGGAGCTAGTATGCAGCATTATGTACCTGGAGCAAGTATGCAGCATTATGTATCTGGAGCAAGTATGCAGCATTATGTACCAGGAGCAAGTATGCAGCATTATGTACCTGGAGCAAGTATGCAGCATTATGTATCTGGAGCAAGTTATGTAGCATTATGTATCTGGAGCTAGTATGTAGCATTATGTACCAGGAGCAAGTTATGTTAGCATTATGTACCTGGAGGCAAGTAATGTAAGTGTTATGTACTGGAGCAAGTAAGTAGCATTATGTACCTGGAGCAATGTATACAGCATTATGTACCCAGGAAGCAAGTATGAAGCATTATGTACCTGGAACATGTATACAGCATTATGTTCTGGAGCAAGTATGCAGCATTATGTACCTGGAGCAAGTTATGCAGCATTATGTACCTGGAGCAAAGTATGCAGCATTATGTATCTGGAGCAAAGTAATGTAGCATTATGTATCTGGAGCTAGTATGTAAGCATTATGTACCAGGAGCAAGTATGTAGCATTATGTACCTGGAGCAACGTATGTAGTGTTATGTACCTGGAGCATGTATACAGCATTATGTACCAGGAGCAAGTATGCAGCATTATGTACCTGGAGCATGTATATACAGCATTATGTATCTGGAGCAAGTATGCAGCATTATGTACCTGGAGAAGTATGCAGGCATTATGTATCTGGAGCAAGTATGTAGCATTATGTACCAGGAAGCAAGTATGTAGCATTATGTACCTGGAGCATGTATACAGCATTATGTATCTGGAGCATGTATACACGCCAATTATGTACCAGGAGCAAGTATGCAGCAATTAATGTACGCAGGAGCAAGTTATGTAGGCATTATGTAACCTGGAACAATGTATACAGCATTATGTATCTGGAGCAAGT